TGTTCTGGCATTCACAGTTTCACTGAGGGACAGAGGGTACTTTCTGTCTTATTAAGAGGCACTTGAGAATAGGCAAAAATCCTGGTGCTTAATAATCACATGAGCTGATACCCTAGAAAGTATGGTAGAGCTGGAAACTCCCATCTCCTTTAGGCATATAAAAACCAAAGTAACAGAAGGACAGAGAGGCAAAGGATGGTTTTGTTGGGTTTTGTTAGCAGTAGCTTACAGTCATACAAGTATGGAATCAGAGAATTAGTGGCCACATGTTACGGAATGCATTAGAATAACACACTAGAAATTCTGCACCTCACTCACCCCAGGCTGTTTAACATCTAAAACAAGACAGAAGCAACAGAATTYGAAAAGAAGGAAAAGGAAAGAAATGAGGTTTAGGTCTGGCACAGAGTCATCATTTTTTCCCTTCTGCCCCTGTTGTTTATCTTCACTTGTAGCCCCTACCTGCATGTAAGGCTGCCCAAGCTTTACATCAGGGCACATCTGCAAGCCCAGATTCATGACCAGCACACTTGGAGCCTTCTCTCCAGCACATGGAGGTTTAAATTAGTTCCTTGGTTATACCCTGCTGTTTCCATTCCATGTTATCCTCCAATCCCAACCCACTGCTTTCCTCTATATTCAACAAATTAATTAAAACCTTGCTAGCTTTTCTTTCTGTTAACTGGGTATCAGCCTTGCTGCCTCATTTCCCAGACCTCCAACTTTGTTGCTGGTTTTGTTTCCCTGCTGTGTCTCTAATTTTTCCATGTTGGAAACCTTGCATTACTCTTTATTAGGAAGATATTTTTCCAAGTCCCAAATGGTAGGAAACTGCCTCATTCTGTTTACTATTTATTCATTCAGGAATATGAATTACCTTTTTTTTTTTTAACTTCTCCCTTTAAGTCCATCCTGACAGCCTATATACATCTGTAAATGATGTTTTAGCCCAGACTCCTCCAGTAACCATTCAYAATTTTTTTCTAATGAAGAAAGGAGAAAAATCTCTTGTGGGACACTTCCTCCTGCAGTACAGGTAGGTGTTTTTATAARTAAGGATGCTATGAGGAACATACCATGGGCACAAAGGGGGGGCATGCAAAATCTCTGAGCAAAGAGCTACAACAGCAGCAGTCTCTTTGCAGCTGACTGTGACAGCCGACTGATTATCTGTGATCATTGCAAAGTTACAGCTTATGCATTTGCAAATAAAATCCTAGTGTGGGATCAGAAAACACACACTGCCAAACAAAGCCGATTTGTAACAGCACTTGGACACATGCTTAATATTTGAGCATATGCTGTAACATTTCTGCATTACACTAGAGTGCACCCTTTTTTTTTGTTCATCTCTCTGTTCTGAATAAAGTGGGTTAACTCTGGAGGCAGATGGGAGCTCAGGCAACGCTGCCTGATTAYTGGACTGACATAACACGCATTCCCRTTTGGGTAAAGAACATAATTACACACACACTCCTGTGTATGATACTACCTGTTGCCAAGGTTAGAGGCAAGAGCGCCCATACCACACTTTCTCATTGCATGGGAGCTCCAATTAAGTCAGCCTTGTTTTGCAAGCTTTCACTCCTCTTGCCACCCAATCCTCTGTGCTGTGTGATYATATGATAAATTTCATCGCAGAGCTGGCCCATATCAAAATATTTTCTTGTAGGTCTTATCAATTCTGATGAGGTTCACAATCCTGCCAAAAATGCTTGGGGAATGAAAAACAATCTATCACTGTAAACACATCTTAACAGGCAGTGAACTAAGGGTATCTAGTGGCTAAGTCACAGTGACACTGCTGGCATATTCCTCTTCCAATGAGAATTTKTCCCTCTCTTAATTTGATTTGCAAGATACATTAATCAGTGCACCAAGCTGCTGGTTGTATTTGCTGAGTAGTCAGTAAATACTTTKAACAGATGTTAGTGCAGCACATCTTACTCTCTCACCCTGACTAAACAGGACTTGGCACTTTTCCCAGCTGAAGTGAACATGGCACCAGTGGGTAATAGTTTATCACTTCTGCAATTCCAGTGTTTTCAAATCTGCTAATAGAGTGAACTAGGATTCAATAAACCTCTGTTAGATGGTAAACATCACTCAGAGGAAATGTACATAGCAAATGAAAATTCAGAATGTAACAGGCTTCTGTGTTCAGGATGTTGATCCTGCCTCTTGACTGGAATCTCCTTTGCCCAAGCAGTTTTTCTTCTGCTGGAATAAGAAGGACAAGTCCATTTTGAAAAACTCTGGCTAAGTGATGTTTGCCCTGTTTTCTTCAGAGGCAACACAGGAGACATTTGACTTCTATTAGCAAGGCACTAGGATTTCTATGAAGACYCACTCCTCTGTTAGCAGTTGTAATATGTAGCTAAGGACAGGTTTGTGTCAGTTGCAATTGCAGTGACATACCTGCAACTGCTAAAGCAGCTGACACTGCAAATGAAAACTTACCAAAGAATCACAGAATATGTTGAGTTGGAAGGGACTTATCAGGAACATCGAGTCCAACTCTTGGCCCTGTGCAGACACCCCATGAGTCACACCATGTGCCTGAGAGCATTATCCAAATGCTTCTTGAACTCTGTCTGGCATGGTGCWGTGACCCTTTCCCTGGGAAGCCCATCCCAGTGCCCAGCCACCCCCTGGGTGAAAAACCTTCCCCTGAGATCCAACATAAAACTCTCCTGACTCAAATTCATGCTGTTTCCTTGAATCCAGATGAGAGTGAAGAGATCAGTGCCCTCCACTTCCCCTAATGAGGATGTTGAAGAGTTCAGTGAGGTAATTTTAAGATTCTACAGTCAGMATTAAAAGAAAGCAGAAAGATCAGACTGTTTAAAATATTGCACTATTCCACTTCAATGACTGGGGTACCTGGGGAATAACTGATGCTTTCATACCAAAAAATTTATTGCATTTTGAGTGTTCTGATAGAAAAAAAATGAAATAATATGAGAGCTTTTAAGAGAATATGCCCTCCAACAGCCTGACAGTATATTGTTGTTTGTTTCTTTACTCCAAGTGAGGATGACAATCCTAATCACYATGCAATTGCATTTATCCACCTTAGACTAACCTTTACTCTGTATTTGCTTTATCCATGTTTGTTGTAACACATCTGTAATCAAGATTAAATGGTGGTGAAGTCAGGTGAATGTAATCAAACATCTACAACAGATTCACACGAAGCATAAATAGCACTCTAGTGTGCTACTGGTTGCACTGCTCCAGCAGAGGTGCCAAGATCTACCTGACAACAAATGACAASTTTTCTTGAAGTTAAGGTAGGCTGAAATACAATACAGCCCTCAGTAAAAAAAAAAAAAAWAAAGCTACAGACTAGCAGTACACTTACACTGCACAAGTACTACAGACAAGCAAAAGTGACAGACAAACAGAAGTGACAACACTAACAAAGTTCCTCAGACATGTTCTTATAGTTTAAATGACCTTGGGTTCCTTTGAAAACATCCAGCAGGATGTTACACAAAACAAACATACAACACCAATCATAGTTCTACACTCCTGGAATTCTGACAGCACTCACAAATGAGTCCAAAAGTAACATGTGGCAAGAAGGAGGCATCCTCATCTGATACAAATTGGCATAGTTCCATTTCTAGACTAGAATCAACACTTGCGTCTTCTCTGTCACAAGACTGTGAAAAATGCTATTCTGACAGTTTTAAAAATGGTTTCTCTACAAACTAATTTTAGTCTTTCATAACACAGACTAATGAAGTCAAGCYAGCTGTGAGCTTTGTTTCAGGAAGTTTTATTCAGTAAATTTCTYACATGCAGGAAATCTTTGTACAAGYTGGGGAAAGGGGATGTGTCTCCCACCTTCTAGTCTCCAACTCCAATATAATGTCACTCTCAAGTATTACTACAAAGCACATATTTAAACCTTTCAAAAATTAAATAAATGGGATGGGGTTTTTACACTTWCTTGTTTTAAGCAAGCCACTTTAAACAATACAATCCACAAAAARAAAGTAGCAGCCAGCATCACTGTTYGGCTATCATTARCCTTCTGAWTGTACTGCTTTAATACAATAATTTTGGAAAGCAGGCATATTAATGACCATGACAATGATTTGCCAAGCAAATGGCTTCAGTCCCATTTTTTCTGGTGGTACTATTCTCTCCTCATACAAACTTTCCTTGAAGTTGTGAATATCCAATACCTTAACAGTTTCAGAGTTCTGCCGCCTAATGATGAGCATATTGCCAAAAAAAAAACCCTCCTAAACAATGCTGCCCTAAGGGACTTATGTATACAGCGGTATATGCAGAGCATTTCTTTGAGTTAGCAAACCCAAGACTATATTCTGACTACAGCCAGAACACATTGTTTAAGCTGAAGTGTCATTCATTCCCTCGAAAGGATGTCAGCCTTAAGAGGGTCACGCTCACCCCGGTGAAACCCCTTCCATGCAGCATGGCTTCATACCGGCCAGGTGACCGCTTTACATCAACCATGCCTTTAGATGAAGGTCTCAGCATGGAGTGAAAACCAGCTCATGTGTATAAAAAAAAAAAAAGCTTACCAAAAAAAAAAAAAAAAAAAAACCAAAAAAAAAAAAAAAACAAACACAAAAAAAAAACCCAAACCAGAAAGTAAGCCAGGGAAAGTGCGGGGGAGTTGTTCCGAGGGCCTCCATCCACCCCACTGCTCCGTCCTCGGAGCCTTTGACTCTACTCCGGGCTAATGGTCCTCACCGCTGCCCGGGGCCGCAGCTCTCGTTGCCGGGATCGACCCCGCAGCTCCGTGCCGGGCCCGCTCCCCACGCTCGGTTAAATCCCAGCCCGACAGGCGATAACCCCAGACGGAGCACGGACAACACCGCGACAGTCTCAACCCCTAGCCCGGCTTTCTGCCGCCACGGAGCGCAGAGGAGCAGAGCTAAGCCATCTCTTCCCGGCCCGGCCCGGCCCGCCCCCGGGCATCCGGTCAGCCCCGCGCCGGGGCGGGATGCCCGATAAAGGCAGGGCTGTTCCGCTCCGCCCCGCTGCGCTCCGTGCTCCTCTCGTACCGCTCCGGCCCGGCCGCTCCGGAGCCGCTGCGCCACAGGGGCTGCCGCCTTTCCCGTCCTTCGGCCGGAGGGCCGCCTGTCCGGCAGGGGAAGGTATCCCGGGCTGGGGCGCTGTGGGCCGGGCGGGTGCCGGGGACGGGACAGGGCGGGAGGGTCGGGGGCCGTGGACAGCCGGGTGCTGCGGGGCAGCGGCGCGTCCCGGGGAGGCGGCCTGAGGGCGGGTGGGGAGAGGGTGGCTGCAGCTGAACGCTGCTGGTGGCGTTCCTTAGGATGCTGATTGGGTTAGCAGGMGCGGTGTGCCAAGTGAGAGTAAGGTTATCCTGCATCCTCCGGGAGCTGAGGAAAGTATTGCAACACCTCAGCCCTTGGACAGCCTTGGCTACGGGACTCTTATATTTTTGTGGGTTCGTAACTCTCCAGGTACAGCGGGAAAAATTCATGCTCGCCAAACCTTGCAAAGGTGATTGCATAATCAACCCTTAGTCCTTTGACTAGCAGAGGTGTTGTGCTGTCTAGCTGGCAGCCTCAATCCTGCTCTTGCGATTCGTGAGCAGTGATATTGTTCAAGAGCCTGTCAGGCTTGCAAGAGCCTCTTGGCTGTGAGCATTGGCACAGGTACCAATAAGCCTTTGCTGGCAAAGTTATCTGTTCTTGAAATCTGTCTGATAAGATATTGTAGAATGTCAGATACTTCTCTATGGCATAAAAACTCTCCACACTTATGTCTGTGTGGATATAGGCATACTGAAAAACAATACCAGGCATCAGAAGTGATCTGAGATCTTAAATGTGCCAAAGGCCCCCTTGGTTAATTCACCTGTAAATACATCCCTGCTCACTTTAGTTGAGAAGCCAGAATCAGCCAAGTGAGTAGCARATTGGATTGTCTGTATTGGATATGCTTGGTTAGAGTAGCTGGTGTAATTAGCAATACTAATGCAGTGAGTCATTAGCTGAGCAGGCCCGGTCAAATTTGGAGCCTTTGACCCAAATTTGGGTTAGGGGAGATATGTGTCTATAAAAATTAAGCATCTCATTGAAGGATGTAGAGTTGGTCTCCTAACAGGAAGTCTCCTGTGGTGCATATGCCTAAACAACTCTACTTCATTAGGTGTAAGTCATGTTTTTCTGAAAGTTCTAATGTGCTTCTGTCCCATATAACCCTAATATAGTATTATTTTACCTAAATAATTACTGTCATAAATTTTAAATCAGGTTTAGGTCAAGTTGTGTATTGCCTTGCTTGGTTTTCTATAGGGTTTAACTTCAACATCCTTATCTATGCCAGAGATACCAGTCCCCTTTCATGTAAATGGGAGATTTTATATTAAGTGCATTAAATTAGTGCTATCAAGTTAAATGCAGCAACTGCTTGTATTTTAAAGACTTGTTGCATCTGTTTTAGACTCAACAAAGAACTTGTGCTTCCAAAAACTTGYGCTTTTTTAATGTACATGAAATTTAATAACATTTTTCTTCATCACTCTATTTTTGCTTACAGCTGTCATAGCTGTATAGATATGAGAGTCTATTACAGGAAATGCCAATATTGGCTCTAGGAAAATGCTCCAGTGTTGTTTTGATATTTCTTACTGGTGTTACTGCCTCTATGCACGTTTTTTCCAATTTTAATGAAAATGAAGAACAGCAAGTACTCAATAGAAAGCATTCACCCTATGACTTTGCCAGAAAGAGCTTGTTTTCCAACCCACTATGTCTTTGACAAATGTTTTTCTGTTATCAGAACAGTTTTAAGATGTCCCAATGTTTCTGCCAGAAAACTTTCTGAAATAACTAGCAGTGCTCTAGCAGTGGCCCATTCCTTTTCAGCTCTAGTCTAGTTTCCCGTGTAGAAAACCCGAGACTCATGATAACACGTGTATGTTCACATGCTAAACTTCATGAACTTTGCTCAGAGTAGCAGAGACCTAAGTTACTCATTTCCTGGCACTTGTCAAACACGATTACCTCCACACATAGATAGCAAAGTTAGCTCAGAGATGTGTGGGGTTGCAGAATATTGGTAGTGGTAACAGCAGAACAACAGACCTTGAAAGTCAGACCTRTCTCCTGTCCCTGCWGCGGAAGAAGTCTTGRAATTAGTAAACATAACTGATCACGAGTGAAGTAGGTCGGCCACAAGAAGTTTCTAACTACTAGTTCTCACGAGACTAAAAGAACAYTGCTACCGTAAAAGGTATTGTTTACCTAGTACCAAAGAAGGCAATATTCTGAGACAAGATAATTGATTGGAGTGTGCTGTGCTGTAGAATTASTTCCAAGTTAATTTACAATATATAGGAAATTACTACTGCGCAATAAAGGTCTTCATGTCTTGCAAGCCTACGTGAAGTCAGTGCCTCATTCATTGCAGAGATGTAATCAGACTGGCCATGTAGCAAGTGCTAAAGGTTGAAGTGTAAGTGCCAGCATGCTCTACCTTTAGCTGAGAAAGAAGATATTCTTGCTTCATAATGTCAGTCAAAGATTAAAACCTATTTTGACCAAGGTTTAGTTTCTTGCACGGCTTTTCTATACTGGGAAATAAAATAACATTTCTCCAAGGACTTAAAGGCCTGCCTGGTGTCAGCAATACTGGGATGCGTAGAGACTGTGAGGTTGAATAYGTACCTGAGGTGGTGTGATTCATGCCTATGACATCTGCTTAATGCAGGGAGGTGAAGGAAGAAACTCAGAGCTTTGCAGTGCATTTTAAAAAAACTATGCTCAACTGCAAAAGCAGGTTCTCTTCTGTAATGGGAGTACAGGTAGCTGAAAAGTCAGTAGTGACAGACAGCTATTTACCTAGTGTGCTTTGGAGATTTATAAGCATGTTGCCTTCTGAAGCACCTAATGCTYATGTTTTTTCAGCACAGTTGGGACTGTGACTTGTTCTGCATATAATTTCATGGCAATAAGGAGTGCCTACAAATCAAGAAAAGTAGTGGTGGTAAAAGCATAATTTTTCCTGACCTGTAATATTAGCTTGTGAGCACTAAAGTACTTTGATCAAGCCATAAGTTTTAATTTGTAATTGTCATGCATTTCTGTTTAAGATGCTCAATGGGCAGATTTTTTAAAATAATTTTATTTATTCGCTTAAAGTTTTGTGTCCACATTCTGTCAGAGCATAGAATCAAACTCCTGACACAACGGATGGAGAATTTCTAAAGCAGATGAGGGCAGGTGTTTCCTATTGCTGCTGAATGGTAAATGAACTGTGTACTGCATCCTGGAGGAAAGTAGGAGCAACCTGAAGATGACAGAGAAACAGAACAAATGGGTTAGATATGCAGGTGTAAACCTATATATTTAAAAAACAAACAAACACTCAAAAACGGGCTAGAGAAAATATTTAGAATGTATCTGAAAATGTTTTTGGAATGTTGTTTGCATTTTCTCTATGGTTTACCTTATCTGGTAAATGTTTCGGGTTTTTTTTTTATCAGGTATCTGAAGAAAAAGCCTGAAGATGAACTTCTTCTTGGAAACATTAAAATGCATTGTACTTCTTGTTTATTATTTGCTGGAGTCACTGGTGTTCCTGATTGTGCCTAAACCGAAGAAGAATGTYAGTGGTGAAATAGTATTAATAACAGGAGCAGGAAGTGGCATTGGAAGACTCTTATCGTTGAAGTTTGCCAGCCTTGGAGCCACGGTGGTTCTCTGGGATATTAATCAAGAGGGACTCAATACCACAGTTAAACTGGCCAGAGGAAATGGAGCAGGAAGAGTACACTCCTACGTCTGTGATTGTAGCAAAAGACAGGATGTCTACCGAGTAGCTGACCAGGTAAAGTATCTCATTTGTGGCTTTCACACTTTTCTAAGATGAGTACAGGTGTGGGTGTAAGATGCAKGATTAGATTTTCTAGTGGCTTGAAAGCAAGAGATTTAAGTTAATTCATTTTGAATGTAGTGTGCTTCCTATTTCAAGAATTCTGGCTTTTAGAGTTGACCTGTATATCTCTATTCCTTAAAAAAATTAAAAGAGCTGGTTCTCTTTTTCAGTAGCTCATTTTAACTGGGTAGCTTCTCGTTCATTCATTCRATTACAGAGCACTTAATCTTGAAGTGCGGAAAATCAATTTATTGAAGCTAAAGCAGTATTTCAAATTCTGGCAGCCTTTTACCAAAAGTAAGCCCTAAAGACCATACATTGTAAAAAGGATTAACTGCTTAGGCGATTTTCAAATAATTCCATTGCTGTGAAGRTATTTTTGAAGATTTACTTTATCTGAATTAATATATGTGTCTTGATGTCTTAAATATTTCTTTCTTTCATTTCTGAAGAGCTTTGTAAACATAGCATATGGCTAGATATTTTCGGCAGTCTAGCAGAATTGTCAAAAGCTAAAATTGTTAAACACTTTCCAGTGTAACAACCTGTTCTCATCTGCTTAAAATTTGCTAAACATAACTGTTGGACTATAAAGTTCCCACAGTGAGTGTTTGTCTGGAGACAAATTTTTTTAAACAAAAACCTTCACCTATCTTCAGGAGCATCTGTTGGCTGAAATAATGTTTTGCTGCTCTTTAAGAAGYTACAGCCTTCTGCCTTTTTCTGTCTGTGCAAAAATGACTGCCACAAGCTTTCTGATATGTGAAGCCTGTGCATGAATTACAGCTTTTTAGAGACTGGTGCTATTTGTTTTGTATTCCAGTAATGCTGATCAACCTTTGTCCCCTTGYAGCTCCATTCCACCAGCTGAGCTGGACATSTGCTGTCCTTGCAGAGAAGTTGCATGTCTCTCCATAGGGCTGCAGCTGTGCTTGCTGGCGAGCTGGGAGAACTGGAGGAGGAGTATTGTGGTGTGAAGAATGCTGCAATGGAGAAAATAAACATTTACCTTTAGTTGTGAAGACTTGAGTTGAGGGCTACCACTTTGGGCCCATGGAGAAAAGCAGTGCCTGAACCATTCTGGCCAAATTTGAAAAAGAGAACAGGGTGTAGATCTGTGTGACATGGATTCAGTCCGATGCAAACAGAGCTAGCCAGGAGCATAGAAGTTGTAATAGGGTCCAGTGCATGATTCCTTGCTTAAAACCTTCTGTCAGCAGCTCAGCARCTGTCAAATTCACTAATAATCCTCATGCTGATCTGCATAGAAGAAAATGCTCTCCTACCATTGTTTCAGAAATGCCACATTCTGCTGGTGCTGTAGACTCATCCAATCTTACCARTTAAAAAAGGACTTTAGTACTAGTTGGTACCCCTGTTTACGTAATGCAGTGTAGTAGACTTTGGTTCATAGTGTTCAGCATCAGCCTTTGCAAGATAAGACAGCATGGTTTCAGGTCCTGTTTTTAACCCTTCTGATGATTCAGCTTTATGCAGACTTGGAGTTTTGCAAGACTGTGGTGAACTAAATTCATGCTGGAAGGGYAGGATATGTTTGAAAACTTTGCTCCCAATAAAACAGTCTTAAAGCCAAAATTAAATGTGTGAATCTTGAATATCTTCTTCAACAGCCACACAGGGACACCAGGAAAAAAGTCTTTTGGGTAGGAAGAAAACCCAAAGCCCCTGCATGTGTTAGGTCCTTGTTTCTTGCCTGTACCAACAGACTGAAGGACAGCCTTTAGGCTAACAAGAGCTGTAGCTTAAAATTTATTTCTAATGTCCCTGTTCCAGAAGTACCCAACTCCTTAAGCTGAGTTAACAAAACTGCACAAGACTGGACCAAGTTTAAGGAAGATGAGGAAGTTAAGGTAGAAWAAAGGACAGGTGATAAATTACTCTTTAATTCTTTACTGTTATACTCGTTTCATTTTTCCCAGATAGCTCAGATCAATGAAGTGTACTTCAAATTCTGTATAAAATATTTTCATTCTCCTTTGGAGAGCTGACACAATATCTTGCTATCAGCTGTCCTGTTGTTGTTCTCTCAGCTGAGTGTTCATGAATGTTCTCAGTCTGGAGCTAAAATGAGAACTATACTTCCTCTTACTGAATTGAATGTATAGGTATTATTTTTTAGCCAACTTATTTTCTGGGGTGGAGTGTACCAGATTCTATTCAATTCAATTCAGAATTGTTCTTTTGTTTTAAGATGGGTTTATGATAGCAAAACACTTGTTGCATTAATTAAGCTCTGTGTAGTCGAGATTTATCTGGAACTGTTGTCCTTGGAAACAGAGGTGCTGAAAGCAGAAGCTTGTGTGGAGCTGTTGGGCTCCACATCACTGAAGAAAATCCAGTTGAAAGCTTTGAAAAGGTATCAGGAGAGAATGTGCCAGAACCTAAGGTGTTTGGATCCATAAGAAGAGTGCAACTTATTTGGAATGTGTAATATTTCTGTTAATTTTTCATATATAATACTTGGAAAGAATGTTTTGCATTTATTGCACACTATCTTAATGTTTTTTGTTTTAGGTTAAAAGAGAAGTTGGTGATGTTAGCATTCTAATCAACAATGCTGGTATTGTAATTGGAAAGAGATTTCTTGATTCTCCAGATTCACTCATAGAAAAAGTCATGGAAGTGAACACGATGGCACACTTCTGGGTAATACCTGTATTTTGCATATACATACTAAAACATCCTTTTAACATGTTTTCTGTGTTAATTTTTCCTTTTGGAATTGAGGAAAACATACAAGCATATAGAGTTCTTTTGAAGTTCAGTCAGAAATTATGAAACAAATTACTTACTTTGCCTGGGAGTCTGTAAAATAAAAAAAAAAAAAAAGTGTGGAAGAATGGATCCTTTGGGATCCTCTAGTGTAAGCAGGGTGGAAGCACTTCACATTTAGAAATGCTCTTAAGGACTGAAGTATATCATCTGCTAAATTCTGGGGCTAGTCATATAATCTCATTAATTGACATGAAGCAGGCCCACCCTAATAGTTGCTGCCCTGGTAACAGAGAAGTGTTCAATTCTACTTCAGTTCTTCTGTTAGTGTTCTGTTTCTTCTGTGGTCATGATAGTTCCAGTAAGAAATACCACATGTTCAGATAATGCTCTTAATAAGTGGAGCTTTTGTCCAAATTAAGTAATCTCGTGTGCTTTTTCTTCATTCCAGCAAGACATGTCACTTATATGGTGTTTCTGTTATAATGAATTGTAAAGAAAATATTCAAACATGTTTCAGTTTATTTGGAAATAAATCCAATCACAAATATTTAATGAATTTAATAGAAGGAAAACATGAAATTCAAATCTTTGCCATTTTACAAAATTTTCAGTGAACACTTAATTCTCCTTTGAAATAAACTTCATGACTAGCTGAAACTATATATTTGGCTTTTGTCAAGTTACCATCTTTGTCTTTGGTAGTGCTGGTGGGGCTGGGACCAGTAAATAGTGAAGGTTAAAGTTCAAACAAGTTCCACATACATACACACATCCTTTCTGTAATGGAAGGGAGAAACCTTATTTAAACTGTAGGGAGAATTTCTCCAAAACCAACAAACACTTTCAAAATACTATAGCATGTAGCTTACTCAGTAAAATGTTAAATTGCAACTCTGACTTACTTTTCAGACTTACAAAGCCTTCCTCCCAGCAATGATTGCCTCCAATCGTGGACATTTGGTTAGCATAGCAAGCTCTGCGGGACTGTGTGGAATCAATAGTCTTTCAGGTAGTGTATTAAAGCTAATATTAATTGAGATAATTAGTTTGATTTACAATCTGCGATCAATATTCACAGAGGGGAAAAAACCCAAGCTGATTTTGAGTTTCTTGATCTTCCCRTATAGGTAAAGCAAAAAGTCACACTTTCAAAGCAGCTGAACTTAAGTAAACCATTTTCTTACAAAGAGCTTTCCAGAAGCTCAGCAGTGCTGTGAAACAGGTTTTTCTGTCAAGATAGTTAGAGGATCTAGAAGCCATATAGAACTTTGGAAATTAAGAACCTCAGTGTTGTTAAAGTTAACTTGCTGTTTGTGACAGGGRAGAGGCCACTTTAGATTTAGAGAAAACTCAGAAGGCATTTCTGTAAATGTATACAAAGGGGGAGGAAAATGAAATAAGGTGACATAGCAGAAAAAGAAATCTAGCTCCAAAGGAGTGATAATGAGGACAAATTGAGTTTCAAGTTGAAACCACATTAGACAGTTTTGAAAATGTGAGTTTGATTCATAAGAAGCGAGTGCATGGATTTAAAGATAAGGTCTGGTATGAAAAGATAATTTTATTTATCATTGTTGTGTGGAGTGGAAAAGTTGTGGCAGGGATGTCTTGAAAAACCCTCTGTCTGCCAGTCCAGAACAACAGTTGATTTAGRAGAGGAAAGTAAAGGAATAAATCACATTAAAGGTAAATTTTAACCTAATCCTGAAAACCATTCTGTTGTGAAGTGGTTTAGTATTGGACAGTAAAGTTTAATTTATAAATTAAAATATTTAACTGCTATTAATRTTTTATTTTGCAGATTACTGTGCAAGTAAGTTTGCAGCATTTGGTTTTGCGGAGTCAATTGATATGGAATTGAAAAGTATGAGAAGGAGCGGTGTCAAAACCACAATTGTGTGTCCTTTCTTCATAAACACRGGAATGTTTGATGGTGCCAAAACCAGGTGAGTAAACTCTTGTGAGGTTTTTATGCAAGTTGCATGTTTAGCATGTTACAAACCCCTATTTCTTTTATGAAAATAATGAGCCAGGCTTTTTTCTGCTTGTGTTATTTTTAGGGCTTCAGATGGGTGTTAACAGTGCTGTCCAGTGACTGGGCAGCCCAAAGGCCTGGATACTTTACTACTCATTTAGCTCAAATGTGAAACATAATTGGTGTCCTTTCCTCTGCAGAAGCCAAATGCTCCAGTTGTCCTCTCTGGTTTCTAAAGCCCCATTCTTCTCCTGACACTGGTGGCATAGCTTTGCTCAGCATGCGTGTATAATGACAAAATTCAGGRGCCAGATAAAAGCCAGGTGTGTCTTAATATGAGGACCCTGGTTTGTCTTGTGAGAGGTCATACAGAGGGATAATAACAGTGTCCACTTACTCTGACATAATGGAGATTCTGTTGTTCGTAGGACTTGTGGTATTTATTTCCTTTTTTAGTTGAATAACTGTAAATTGMGACCTTTTTGGAATAAAATACGAATCCAAAGCAATTTTTATTATGGCATTTAATATTTCCTTTTTCAGGTGGCCACGTGTGCTTCCCATGCTGGAACCAGAGTATGTGGCTGATAGGATAATCGCTGCYATACGGAAAAACCAAGAGGTTTTGATAATACCACGCGTCCTTTATTTTTTGTTCTATTTGAAAAGGTAAGTTATGACTTTCCTTCTTTTCTTCTTTCTCTTTTCTCTCCAGGGATATTTCARCTATGTGTTTGATTAAAAGTGCAAACGAGGCTTCCACTTGTTGGTGTGAATTTTCATTAAGTTCTGYGCATTTTTGAAGGGCTTTTCATTTGTTTGTTGCTGTGGGTTCAGTCTGCCCTTAGGCCACAGAACAATGATAGAAATGTCTCACTGTGCCTTGCTGACTCCATTGGGGTGCAGTTTTACTGTGGGCTGCAGACACTGGGTCTGCTTCTCTATAACTGTATATCAGAGAATTATTGGTTGGCAAAGACCTCTAAGATCAYTGAGTCCAGCTGTAAAGCCAGCACCTACCTGGTGCATTGCTCCAGCATTAGGACACTTTTGACTCTTGCAATAGGTTGGAATGCTGATCTGTCTAATAACTCAGGCTKCCAAATGAGTGTAAAGGATATTTTGAGGGGAATAGTGGGTCTATAGTCTAGAGAGTATATTGCCTTTGCCAGCATTAACCAGGTAAAACTAATTCTGTGATAAAACTGCACAACTTTTCTCTCTGTGTGTTCCTTTTTATCTTCTTCCTCAATGTCCCTACCTTACAGCTTCCTACCAGTGAAAGCAGCTGTTCTTCTTCTGGAATACTTTGGAGCCCATGATGCCATGAGCAACTTCAAAGGTCGATCAAGGAAGGAATGAAAAAGCACAAAATTCAGGGACCAGCAACTCTAAAGTGGACATTGTAAAAGGTGGTGGTGAAAAAGGTTTGCTTCTCTAGCAGCTGTGAACTTCGGGTGCCTCATTTCTCATTAGKAACAAGATTTCAAAAAGTTGCTTTTTAATTGGTTCTTAGTCAACAGCTTTCATCTGAACTATTTTTTTAATGCAGTGAACTCTTTTCTTTCACCTCATTATGAAAATATGTTCATTGAATTTAGTTGCTTAGATTATGTCTGTTTATAATGCCTTAAATATGATCCTGCTTYACAAACTAATAATCAGCAACTTCAGGGGGAAAAAGGGACCCAGAAACCACATGTTTCTTTAGCCAGAAAAGCCTGTCGTGGACCTTACTGCTTGCTGCCATTCAATGGACCTTGATGATGCGCTGTACTGCTGGTGGCATTACCATTCCCTGGTAAGCTGAGGAATTAAAAAATTTCCTCAAATAACAGGTTCTAACTTTCACAAAAGAAAGTTTTATGAGATCAAAATATTCACTGTGTTGGTGAAAAAAACAATCACATTTATTAATTTTTGGAAGTGTGATCTCTCAGCTCACAGGTGACTGTATGTTGGGGGGACAGGGAAAGACGTGTAAATTATGCATTTGTGCTGCTCATCTACTTTGTGCATATTTTATTTTAAAAGATAATATAATGACTGCAAATTTGTAACAGAAGTCTTTSTATCTTCTAAGTGCTATCAGTTTCAAGAACTGTTTTAAATTGTCATCTCCTAAGAAGAATAAACTTGTATTTATAAAGCATAAGACTGCCAGTCTATGTGGACTATCCAATGTCTTGTCAAKTAAGACAATGAGCTACTAAAAGCAAGGGTGTTGTATTGTATAAGAGGGGTTTCCCTTGCGATTATTTCAGAAAGGAATGATGCTGGTAGAAGTGAATGGTATCATTACAGCCATTGTTCAAGTAACAGCATCATGTTTTGCTTCTCTGAGTTGGGTGACAAGTTTTCTTGTGTCTACAGAGACTTGTTTTACTTTCCCTTTACTCTTAGAATCATTTATTTTGAGCTGAAGAGGCATTGCCCTTTTTGACAATGGRTGCTTAGAAAGCTGGAAGTCACCTTGACTTCTTGTCCAAAATAAGAAAAAGGAAGTTTGTGTATGTCACTTRGGTACATGCTGCCTAAGTCCACCTCATGTCGCAGTACTCTGCTAGCAATTAGTACAGCAATTGAAACAGTATGGAGAAAAGGGTCACTTTTTTAATGGTGTTTTTTTTTCATCACATGATGGCCTAGAAGCTACCTTCATTTCCCTTGTCTATGCAGTTAGTGAGGTTTACTAGCAGATAAAAGTTTATGTAGAATCACTTTACTACTGATGAGCAAGAAACTCTGAGTAAAATAAGYGTGYYATAAATCACCTTACCTTTATGATGGAWTAATGAGAGCTAGAATTCTGCCTGGTRAAGAAGAGATTTGTCTCACTCACCTTTCAGGTCTGCAGCTTTTCTACTTCAAAACTTTTAATAATTTTACACTACACCCCAGGAAACAAAAGTTACCAATTAAAAARGAGATTGGACTGCACATTGTCACATACAGACATTGCACTGTTCACAAATTCTTCCACTACTAACTATGTGGTATCTCTGTCTTCAGCCTCCTCACCTTTTTGTACTAACAGAGCATACTTTTCCCTCCTGGCTATGAAGTACAAGATACGCAGAGTTATGGAGCTAAAGAGGAGAGAAGTGAGCTATGTATATGAACAGTAAGAGTATCAAACTCCAGTGCTAGTGAGAGCAAATAKCTTTTCATTTTTCATTTATTTCTGAACATGTGCTGCTGAGTGAAATTAGAAGCAGTGAGTCTGGCAGTGGGATTTGGGGATTCTAGGCAGGTTCATATTTGTCACTCTACTAGGAGGATTTCAACTAATAATCTGTGCCAGAGAAATATATCTCTAAAGGATTTTACTACTTCACAGAATAACTGAGCTTGGAAAGGACTTGTGTTCAGTTAAGTTTTGTATATCTCTAAGGTTGGAAACTTTACAACCTCTCTAGGTAACCTGTTGTAGTGTTTATTCATGCTCTGTTTAAAAACAAACAAATGAAAAGTATCTTTAAATTGAATGTACTCTTTTTTCATGTCCTTTCAGAAGACAACACTAACAGTCTCGGTCTGTGCTTTACACCTTCCTTTTTAAGTACTTTACACATTGGGCCCAAGCCTTTTCTCTAGACTAAGCAGTCCTGGCAGTCACAACCTCTCCTTGTTTGACACTGCTCCAGTATCTTTATTATCAGGTGCAGCCTGATCTCAATTATCTTTGCAGCCCTTCACTGGACTCACTCTAGTATGTTCATATCTTTTRGAGACCAAGTTCTGTACTAGATTGAGCATGCATAATTTGTCATACAYGGCTTCACTAGAAAATCCCTGCTTGCTAGCTGCCCTAGTAGGAGTACACAAATCCTGCTTTTATGTAAATGTGCTGCTACCACTTTGAATAGTGTGGTCCCTGTTAACTTACACCATGTGCCTGGAGGTCAATAGTCTTTCCTGTGGTGGTTTTTATCTCCCACATCTATGATGGCATGACAGATAAKTGGAGTTGTATCCTGGAGGTCAAACAGCACACATCCTTCCCCTGTGTTCACGAGGTTGCATGGAGCAAATGTTTGAATCTTCAAGTGATATATGAAGCTCTTGAGATTAAAGATGGCTTACTTCCAGCGTAACAATGATCTTGACTGATTACTTTCCTGATGCCAAAAACAACTCTTTCCTTCTGCCCTTGGCAAGAAAACTCATGGAACRATCACTGTGACACCCAAACAACAAGACAGAACTCGAAAAGTTGTGTCCGTATGATGTCTGACAAGAGCCCAGGACTGCTGGATGATACATCAAGCACCTCCCACAAAAGAATGGTTGGTTTCATGGCCATTGCTTTAAATTTTAAACAGTCTCTTAACAACACTGACTCTCCCAAATTTGACTGGGATGGCTGCATTGGTGTAACAGTCACTGATACAGTGATTCAAAGGCAATCCATGGTATTTTGTTGCCTGCTGTATTTCTTTTCTCTATGTGAGTTTGTCTTCCTGTGGTAGCAGAAATCTTGCTGTCCACTAATGCAYATAAACATGGAGAACATAGCGCCAAGAAAAATTAACTTGACYCTCTGAACAAGGAGAAAAACAAACAAAAAACTCAGCAGCTGAGATAGGGCTCCGTTATTACTTATTTTATGAATCTGGAAATCATATCCAGGAGCTATATGCATCTGCTTAGAAGTTGGGGTTATGGTGGTCTGGTTTCATTTCAAGAAGGAACCAAGCAGGTACCTCTTCTCTGGTAACTTTCCTAGGGGCAGCTGATCTTCTGAAGACACTGGTGTGGACTTTGTGCTTGGCTAATCAGTTGTTCAACCATGGGCTGTGTAAAACAAGCATTTTAACAAAATAGCTTCTCTCACTGTCTTTTTCTTTGCTGTGACTATCAGAAGAAATGGGTTTGGACCTACCCATTTTTGGRTTATCAAATATTCTAGGAAAATGCAGGATTACTGTCTCTCAGGTRGCATTTAAAATTTATTAATGCATCAATAGGTGGGGGAGCACTACAAGCAGGGACTTTTGTCTACTCACTCTGTGACATGCTTTCTCTCTAGTCCTAGGTGTCTCCAGCTTGACAGATATTTTCTCTGCCAAAGCCACCAAGCTCACAGGCTGAAGTTATGCAGATAGCCTATGGCTGAGGAAAACAKAGCTCTCTCGGGAAGAGAGGTGGAAAAAGTCACACCTTCCCTTGCYGTTGCAAATATTCACACTAGGGAGATGACCATGCTCAGGATTGGGACAGAGAAGGGTATGACAAAGGCAGTTCTGTGCCAAGGTGCCCTGTGGTATTGGGTCTGCTGGGTAATTACTGCTTGATTAAGACAAACTTTGATTCTTGTTGTAGCTGTGTTGAGAGATTTCATCCTAATCCAAGGTCATGAATAACTATATCTAAGGAAATGTGGTTCTGCAGGACTTGTAGTGGAGTAGTGTTCCAGAATCCCTGCCCAGGAGGRAAGAACCCTAAGACATTGTGACACTTCCACCTCTCCAGATCTTGGGGTCCAGCAGCACATTCCTGGCTTTGGCACAGAAAGAGGAATCAACAGAGCCAGAACACAAGCAGCRGCAAAAACCCTGTCAGCACAAGCAGCCAACAGCAAAAAAACAGATTCTTGCTGAACAAGTTTGGCATCATAAATTTCATGCCTAGAAGGTGCCMTGATCTAGGCTATGCAACCTGGGTGATGTGCAGACCCCCTGGGCAAGTATCTGCATCACTTTTATTAACTGTGTTGTGGTAAAGGCAGCTTGCTCAGAGATTARTGCAAGRWGATAKAKGAGAGCTGAGGAATCTGTTGAGCAYGTGGGYTTTAATGATTSTTCTCCAGAAATRAGAATTCTTGTTGGAAGGTTAACATGGATAACATGAATATATCTCTATATAAATTCTAGAAAACAAGCTTTGCATTATTTATTGGTCTGTCTGCATATTTCTGGCATGGTAATGGTTAACCCGGAAGCACATTCACACAATGCACCATGCATGGCTAACAAAGTTACAAAACTGATTTGAATCATGCTGCAGTTATTGCAGAATGTCATACCTGTGCTTTGGGGAGCTTCTAACAAATTAAGAGAGAGCTGTCATTCCAAGTAATCACATCTGTAAAAGGTGTTTTATCCAGAGGGAGCAAATATCACCAAAATAGCCAGGTGAGGTGCTTGATTGAAGTGTTTGCTGCAGGAAGTACGTGATTTCCACCCTCTGGTATTGAGTCAATCTTTAACAGAGGAGGGAGTAATTGACCAGGTGCATTCTTGAAATTTCTCTGTTAAAATTTTCTAAAACAAGGAATACCAAGTTAATTCCACCAAAAGGAAAATAAAAAATACTTGAAGCAATCAGAGCCTGCTTGTAGAAATTATCTGCACCAGCAGCAAGAGGCAGAAATCTGTTTCCAACCTTGCTTCTGAGCCAAGGATTTRGAACACAGCTATGAAACTAGTTTATTCAACTTTTTTTTTTTTTTTCCACATTGACAATGAAATGTCAGACTGCCCTCTTTCATGCTTTTAGATGCAGATMATTTTATCTGCAATGACATTTATAACAACATTTTAGGGACTATAGATTAGTCCTTAGCATTCAGAAAATTTAAAAAAAAAAAACCAAATACCTTCGTGTGTGATTGTAACTCTGCCCATGTAAAATGGGTCAGGTTTTCAGCTCCCATTCAAAGGGGAGAGAGTGCTTAAAAAAACACCTCACATTCGACAAATAATATCCTGACACCTGCTTTATCCTAGATTTGGAGAGAGGCAGCTACATTTGTTGGAAAAGAACTACARTATCAAAAGTGGAAAACCCCCTTAAAGCAGAAGACTGGAGGAGGGTGAAAAAAGTGAGGAAATTTTATCCACCAGTTCAAATGGGAGTCCACTAAAYATGTGGAGAGTGCAAGAAAAGAGGGAAGGATGATATTGGTGATATTGTTGATGAATAATTAGTTGGTACATGGTCTCCTTGAGGGAAGTACCAGAAGACTTCCTTTTGCTCCACAGGATTCTTGGAGGCTGGACCTGTTTCTAGTGTTCTAGAGAATTTCCTGACCTAAATCAGGGATAGGTTAGCATAGTGTCTTACAAACAAAGTGTTTTGCAAAGGGGATAAACACTTTGGGAAAGTGGAATATTGGAATATTGGACATATATAAACATACATATATATATATTATATATATATACACTACAATTATATATATATGAAGTATAATGTTTAGATTTTGTTTGGACTCTGC